CTATGATTTTCTTACGTCCCAGCAGAATCGACGGTTGATTACGAAGAATCACAGCTCATAGAGCGTGGATATACGTTTTTTGAGGGTTCGGCTAAAAAATGTTTATGTTGCGTGCGCATTTCGATTGCGCATCGGATGAAAATATCGCTTATCTGGACACTCGGTTCAGAGAGACTGGCTACAAAGTGGACGTCTTTTACGGCCCTGTGATCCATTTCGATCCTTTAAATCATCGTGTGAAATTTAATAATATAAAAAATAATAGAGAAGTTGAAGCTTTGGCTATGTTTACCATGTCTGCTAATTATATGTATTTCAATTATATGTTTCAAAAAAATACTGAATCCTGCTGATGAGTGCACATTGTCGCAAACTGAAACCCCTCATGGCGATACGGTGAACGAAATACAAGACGTCAAGCATTATAGCAGGAACAGTTACTTGACTCTGACATCTGCTTCTCTGAGCAACGTCATATCGTTATAGTGGACTTAAGATCAGTGCGCAATGTCTTGGGTAGCTTGTCATGGGTAACAAGCCCGGAGGAACACAGCAGAAGCAACCCATGCTAGGGGATGGCTGACGTATTTTCAGGCTAATCGCTGTTGAGACGCGAGAAGGATTACATACAGCAAGGGTTACATCGAAGGATCTGAGTTTCAAGAAAAGGATACAAATTCGTCAACAACAGCCAAAACCCTAGCGATAAATCACTATAGACGACATTGTATCGGTGCAAGGGAGGACTTAGGGAAAAAGGTACAATCGTCCGCACATCGCCCAGAAGGGGAGTCCAGACGCAAGATATGATAGGAGTTGTTTTAATGCGGACAACTGGAATTTTGGGCATGTGGCATTGTCACAGAGTCAGATTCAGCATCATCTCAACACAGAGAGTAATGCCAAAACAAAACACTAGTCGAATAATAAATATTGAATATCTTCATCCCTAATTATAGTATCGGAGCGATCAAAATTTCGCCAAATAATTCGTGTGCACTCAAAATATTTTTTTCTATAATCATAATATTAAATACGATAACGTTTTAGTCTCTTGGCCACATCGCACTAATTATAACATATGTTTTTAGACCCGGTGGGTTGCTTATGTCCAGCCTCTATGTGTTCGAAACATAAAAGTTTCTATATGTCGATAAAAGAACGACTAAGACATAAACAAATGACTTCTAATCATAATTCATGGTCTTAGACTAAAGGGGAAATTAGGGCAACCGAATGCAAAACTCGACAGATGTCGCTAGATACTGATAGTAGTATTTCGAAAAAACTTTTATTTAGAGAAACCCGTACTTTTTGGAAGAATCTCAAAGGGTAATCGTCTGAAAGTCTTTTTTGTATCGCTGTGGACGTATTAACGTCTCTTTGCTTGCTTGCGGGCGTGACACCGAAAGATCTATCTGAAGTCACAGCAGCGAAGTCGTGTTAACAATGAGTTAGTCCGACGAAATAACGGTCGTCTACCAGCTCATTTTCGTGATCTCATCAAATTGACTATAGAGGAAGATAACTTCAAGTGCAGGTATGCGTAAATGTATTAACTTGCGTCTTTATGGAAAAAAAAATCGGTCAAGTTACCGACGTGAACAAACAAAATCGTATCAAGTAGTCACAATAAATTATTGCTTGTCTTTATTTAGAATTTTGAAAATGCCATTTTGAACCGTCGTGGTGCACGATCTGTATATTTGAAACTAGGAGCTGCTATTGAGAGAACATAACTAAGGAGTGTTCAACCCAAACAGTGCCTCCGGCTCGGTACCTGTGAATAATGTAGGCCATCGGGACGGCAGGAATGTAGGTTGATAACACTTAATGATCTTTAACAGACAGTTCCATCACTATAGAGATTCATCTTGATTATCATCAAGGATTATAGTGTCTACGGTAAACCTCGAATACATAGGCTCCACAGTATCAACATCGTCACATTCAAACATACAGCTGTTTGTCGGACAAATGAAGTAAATACCGAACAATCCTTTCTGGTAGGAGCAGATTTTAGGTGTGGACGTGCGATTTCTTCTGCAAGCTAAACTCTTTCAACTGAATAGTGATGCCCGACAGCAGCGGAGCATTTCTGTTTATCTGTCCTCGCAATAGATCGAATCCAGAACTGCAAATCAATCTCTTTTGTAAGCCAAGTAGCTCAACAACGCCGGAACTTGTAATCCCAATGGAGTCTGCGGATATAATCGTCCCCGGTGTGGAAGGACATGTTTTTAGTCGATACAGAGGAAAGCTGACCTACATGATTTTAAGTGACCTTAGTGCTAGCCTGCATCACTAGTTAACGCTACTCTATTTCTAATCTGTTTATTACAATTTGTACTGAAGTTTATCATCCAGATAAAAGCTTCCAGTGCGCGTGCCCCACATTCACACCTGTGGTTCGTAGGACGAAGTATATTTCTGCCGTGGTCTCTAATGAGGCGGTAAATGCAAAGGCATCTCCCTGTATGCAAAAATAGACAGCCTTGGTAAGGAATAAGAACAGTAAGCGAACGACAAGAAAGAAAAAGCCAGTAGACAATATTAGAAGTAAATCGTATGAATTTTTATTATGTTGACGCAAGTATATCAGCTTTCGCTTAAATCTCATACCTGAGGCACTTTATACCATTTAATGTAAAACAAAAATCGAACGATTACCAAACAATCGGAACTAAGCGTATCCTTTATGTATAGGTATGGTCTAATATCAGACGGTTGCCACTCATGTAGCTCTTTTATGTAGAACTTATCAACGAACTATATTACACTTGGTGAAAGAAGGTTGCATTAGAAATTTAATTTCATTTTATTTTCCATATTCTCCCCTCGAGTTCTACCCTCATCAGCGCAACAATTATTGTACCCCTTGTGCGATAGCGATGAAGGCAAATATAGAAAAAAGCTTTGAACAACAGCGAAATTACGCTACGCCATTAGAAAGTCATTCCGTTAAGGCTGAGCTAAGTCTGGCAAGGTCGGTTCTTTACAACTGGCCGGGTTTAGACGAAGTAAACTGGGGTTGATGTCGTTAAGGGAAGTTATCTAAGCTCACCTCGTTTATATTGATCCTGCCGAAGTTTGCTCTGTTGAAGTAGCAAATTTATAAAATTTGTGATATTTAAACTATTACTACTACTACTACTAATTTGAGCGAAGGTTTAGCCGAACGTTACAGCTTCCGTTAAATTTTAACCAATAAAACAAACAAATAATAAACTGCTTCGTAGGGCACCTTTAACCGTGTTTTTTTTTTTAATTTTACGGAACACTCCGGACAAGTGATAGAAATACGAAAACACGACTATATTCGAAATATTATAATTCAAACGAAGTTTCCTAATAGTGAAAGTTCGTCAAAGAGTGGTAATGATGTCTAAGTGAAATCCATATTCAAAGAAGTCTAGCTGAAGAAAGAAATATAAATGCTCGTTACAGACAAGCGATCCAGATGCATAAGGTGGAACGATGTATAAATTACGTTTTTCTAATCTGTAGTAGATAATTAAGTTGTTCGTGCTATCTTCCTGTTAAATCAATACGAACGCGTTTTTATAAACCGATATTTGGAATTTGGGCGCTCTTGATACACCTCCCCTACCAGAAACAGCAAGCTCTATGAGCCTCCGTCTTTCAAACTTCTCTCCTGCTTTAAATTGTAACTATAATTCTGTAGTTAGGTTTGCTTTTGTAAAACAGTTAAAAATGTGCCGCTGAATATATTTTCTCAAATCCAGAATGCGGTTTAAGGAAAGAAAATAGAAAAAAAAGTATACTGCTATCATTCAGTAAAGTCTGACCGTTATATCAGAATTACATTCTATACCTACACAACAATTATTAGCTTGGAACACAGGTACTTTCAATTTATTTATTAATGTTTTTTTTCTTTCACTGTTCGTTTGCTTCTATAAATTAATCGAAAATGTTCTCTTTGTCATCTGTAGATCCATCATAGTTTTTGTGTAATAACTTTTTTACCTTGAGTTTTACCTTAAGAAAGGCCAGGTGAAAAGGAGTGCACCGATAATATTATCGTGTACACTAAGAAGACTACTCAACACTGGTTTGCAAAGCTGAATGATCATCTACCCCGCCTCAACCATCTAAGATCGATAAGGACAGACTGAGCGCATCCTTGAATAAAAACGGCGAGCAGACGGATCGTAAATTGGGCAAGAAAAGGAGCTGCAGTCATAGAACCATCTGGAGACACTTTAGGTCTATGGATTTACTGGAGTTGGCGTTCCCTATAAACTGGGTGAAGATCCACTTGACGGCAATACGCAGTCACAATGACAGGTTTCTAGTCAGCATTGTTACTGGCGATAGAATGTGGTGCGTGCATGTCAATATGAGATAGAGAAAGGAATAGACGGTTCTCGGAAATACGCCTTCGCCCGACCATGAAGGATCATGAAGTAGCATGAAGTAGATCCTAACCTTAACAAGACAATTGTTTGCATGTAATAGAATTAGAGGGATCTTATACACTGAGAAATGCTCGCGTAGTACAAGACAGTCAAAAAGCATCCGTATACGACCCAATTACGTCAAATAAACGTAGCTATCTAACAAAAATGGCCTAATAAACAAGACGAAGCTATCTTGCTCTACAACAATGCCAGGCCGCACATGGTCAGTGGATGGTCTCTAGGCTCCGTTCTTATGGATAATTATTTTTTTTTTTGATTAATTGCAAATGAAGTTAATAACCATACATTTAAGAGTGAAGAAAACGGAAGGGACGAATTTTTCACCATCATATCTTTACGTTTTTGGCAACAAGGAATAGGTAAACTGGTTTATAGATTCAAAGGATTATGACAAGGAATTAATTTATTATTTACATAGTAAATTAATTTCTTGCTGAAATTGGAGAAAAGGGCATTAACAAGGAAAACATTTTACTCGCTTAAGCCCGCTAAACAATAGGTTTGTGCGTAGAAGTGTACAGGTCTTCGTGTAAACCAACCCTTAGCGACACTTACCTCAAGAAATGTTTTCTTCTTTAGCAACAGAGCCTCTTGTTTAAGTTTTTCGAATTTCTCTTTTTCTAATTGTAGACATACGGTTTTACATTCACCAATTACGTTCAGAGCTTTGGACCTGTTTTATAAAAAAAAAAATCTTGTTAATGAAATACATCGACAGTATATGTAGGAAACACAGTCCATGTCCTACTTTATAAGCCTTACTTGGAAGCTCACTTTAAATGAAAAGATATATACAATTGTACATATATGTATATATATAAAGTTATCAACAGGCAAACCTTGTCTTCGAGTGCGGCTTGCCTCTGCACGATCAAACGCCACACCTCGGACCGCGTAGCTTTCTCAGCGGTGTGCATAGCCTTGTCTGCGAGTATGCTGTGCAGGAAAATAAAAAATCTTATTTCTAGTTCCAGCTTTCTTTGAAGTCGCGAATGAAAAATTGCGATATCATCAATCATCTTTGCTGGCATCTTACCGCTTGAGTGAGCTTCGGCTCTAAGAAAGCCTTCACGTTCAGCCTTCTTTTGCTGCTTTTCCTCGAGCTGTTTATTCGCCCGCGCATTCCGAACTCCTTCCTTCGTGACCTCAATTTCTGCTTGCTAAAAAATCAAACATCTTATCAGTGTCTTATTAGTTACGGATAATAAGGCTATTTGCTGGGTTGGATAGCTCGAGTGATCTGTGTATCAATTCGTAAACGAAAAAAAGATTCTCTTTGTATATTGTAAATATTGGCAAGAAATATAGGCAGTGCACAGCCAACATATATAATTTGTTTTAAATATCTTCAGCAGTCCTTAAGCTCATGAAAACCAACATATTTAATAATGCTAAAAGTTCAACTGAGACACACACTTGCCCGAAGTTTATTCTCGACTCTTCGTCGCTTCTGGATAAACCATGTCGCTTGTTTTCTTATCTCACGAAGCTGCTCTGAAACCTGTAATTATCAATTTGCAAAGATGGTCACCATTAATTCAGTGCACGGCAAACTGAGCCGAAGCTCGAAAAAATACAAAAATAGATAAAACTCTTATAGTAACGGTCTTAGTAAATGGTTGGCTTTGTACGGCCATGTTGGAATTCATCTCAAGGTCTTTTTTGGAACGAATCTTTATATGTGCTACTAAAGCGGCTCTCTTCTCTGCCAGCTGCACGGTTACCTCTTCCTCTGCTGTCTTCAACTGCTATATGGACTAATTATAGGTCCCACGCAGCTGACATAAAGGAAAGGTAATACAGCATAACTTGGAACAAGGAATCAGAGTGACGCGTGAGAAATCAAATTTACCTGATATGAGCCGGTTTTCCGTGAAGATAAAACTGAATACTAGGAAAAGTAGGTTCTAATAATAAAAAACCGACACGTGTGGCCTCACGTGAGTCTTTATGCACCTGGGAAATAGCCTTTCCAGCATGAGGCCAATGTATCAAAATATAGGTGTCGTTTATCGTTGAGCAACATTATACTCACGTAAATAATTGGCTTTCAATTTGTATTTTTATTAACTAAACGTATGCATTTAGCACGACTTCTCCTTTCTAATTTAATATCTATTTCGGAAATGATATTACGCGGTAGCTTATTTTAGAACGCGGATGAACGTGCACCCCTTCTCAAAGTTCGCTAACAGCGTTATTATCCGATTACGCGGATCCTTGTTGGAGTATTCAAATGTGTTTACTGGCCAATCTACAGTAGATAATTATAGATCATATTTGTTATGATCATGGTTGAGCGCATTTTGACAACTTAACTTTAACTTCCGATAACGAAACTCTGGCATGCGTGTTGTTTAAAGCTACTTACCTGTTCAGTTTCGAGTAGTAATGTCTGCTTAGCTAGATGAGGGTCGAATCGCTCCCGAGTAACGTTAATCTGACATAGGCGAAGTACTGTTGACATCTTTTCTGAAAACTGTCGAAATAAGCCAACCGCACACGTAGAGGAACTGATAAACAAAAAAAAATTTACGAATATAAAGTATACGTTGCGTTACAAACAGTAATAGCCGACTCTCACCCTGCAGGTAGAGTATGGGCAACTCTTCAGCGAGTGATACAGAGCTAATTATGAACAAAATATCCTGCGATGAATTATTCCCCCATTGTGATTGTAATATGCCCCTTTTATACGATCAAACTGCCACGTAGATCCTTGCCACGAACGAGTACGGTTTGTTAGTAGTATTTTGGAATTTGTCGCGAAATAAAATTGCGAGTATTTTACCTGCAGGTTTATTTATACCTTTAGACCTTTATTTATAAAGTGTCCTTCTTTTGTAATGTAGAGTCATTTTATTGCATCGATGTTAGTCAGAAGGATATTTTTTATACGACGATTTGAAATGAGTATCTGCTCTAATTTCGCCTCATATATTCGAGGAATTCCTACCGTCTATAAGTTGCACAGTTCTTAATAGCGACAGTAAACAAGTAAAACCCATTAGGCCATTGCTGAATCACGCTTGAAGCATCATAACACAGCCTAGTAAAACTAGGCTGCCAGGTTGCTATCAATAATTGTTCCGTGTGCGGTATATCCACAGTTGTTTTTTGAAATCTGAAAAGTGACTGAGCCCCATAAGATCGAGTCCTGTAAAATGGAAAAGGATGAAAACTTGCTTGTTCATATCGCCCGACCACCCGCTTTTCTAATGTTTTTTTTTTTTTTTTTACTGCAGAAAATTTAGAAAGGACTTAAACAAATGTTGTCATAACAAAAAAGTCCCCGTGATTGCTTAACCATAACCTATTTATTTATGAACCTTAGGAACACAAATGAAGTACATGTTAAACATTGGAGATACACAATGTTCATGCGGAAACGTCAACCAAATGGTGGCCCAGCGAAAGCTCTGGGGCTAGAAATTTCCAACATATGTTTACATTAGTCCGCTAGCTTTGTCCTATGTCGGTCGTACGAAGAGACGCGCCATTTTACAGAACAATGTATGGCCTATGATTTGGCACAGAAATCGTCCGTGTTCTCACTACAATATTATATTGTTTAGGTGACCTGTTTGTCAAAGAATAGGTTTTCTTTTTTTAAAAAAAGCATGACAGTATGATATTGATTTTGCTCGACAAGCAAATTTCAAGCAATTCCTGCTATCGTACACCCAAAATGGTCGCGTGTATGTAGATGAGCGGTTTGCCTTTGTGTGTATTGGTTTACCACTAGCAAAGGCACGATGGCCTTAGAATTAATTCTCACCGTCGTGGCCATGGTCAAGATCGTTGTTGTCATCGACATGATGCTCCTAATCAAAAGCGTCAAAGTTTAGTAACATTTAGTTCTACTAATAGTAGACGCAAACAGAACTAGGAGAAGTCCTTACGATTGATTGTTACATGCATAAGGAATATTTTTTTCGCTGCAGAAATCGGGGACGCTTCTTACATTATTGACAGAATTTTGTGATTAGGTTCTTTGGCTTAATTGTTTTCAAAAATTTTTTTATCAGAGTTTGATCGTAAATTTATTTTAGTTTATTTAAAACGTTCATTAACGACTTCAGCGATAACAAGAATTCGATGCGCATCGAGAAATTTAATTCAACCAACAATGACGCAGGCTTGCATTGTTTAATGTGGCTTTTCTGTCATGTTTTCGTTATCTGAACTTCGTCTTCTCGGCAGGAACGAAATCAGTCGGAATCTTAGAACCAAAGAAGTTCGTCCATCTCCTGCCTCAACTATAAAATTTTCTTATGGCAGCACAACAGACGTTCTTGTAGCACCAAAGATAAACATTAATATTAGCGCTGTTACTCTATATTTTTGCTACTTTTTTTAATCTGACATAATATTTATTTTGCATCGACTATAGATTGACGAAGATCAAGGTATAAAACTTGCTACCCCTTTAAATCTGGTCAACCAAAGCATATTGAAATTAAAGGTAGTGACGATTATAGGCAAGTTCCCGAAAAGAATCCTTTAATCCAGATTATGCAAGAATTACAGGTTCAAAAGCTCAGTTTGATGAAGATGATAAAACACTGGACTGCTGAAGATACTGGTCATCACTATGAGAGCTTCTACACAGACAGCACAATGGGCGATGGAGATTAGCTTCATGATGTTGCACTTGAGGTTCAGTATGATCTCTATTCTGTTTGCGGTAGGGGCATATTTGTTCACTATGCAACGCTTCATTAGTTTATGATTGACGAGTGGCGAGCTGACACTTATAAGACTAAAAAAAGGGTAGAGAGTTTCCTGTTGACATAACTTGGAATATTACTCATAGGTCTTGGCCTAGACAACGAGGTACATGCTATAACATAGCTAAAAAATAGACTCGGGTTGTTTTATTCCCTCTTTCATTTTACTTCCCTTAAGTTGAAATATTCAGCAAAAAACAGCTGATGGATTTTTTCTTCAAAATTAATTTCGTTTTTTTTTCAACAAGCCGGACTATCTGAGATATTATAGTGAAGGTTTTGAGATCCAGAAAATCAAATTTCATAAAGCGTATTTTGATGGATACTTCATGGCTTGCATTGAAGAATTAAAATCCATATAAGGGACCCTCAACTCTATCAGTGGTCTATTGGCAATTACAATTCCTACTATATATATTGAGACGTTAGAATTTTTTCTTGGCCCGTCTATTAATTATAGCTACATACAAAAGTTCCCCTAACATTTGCTATGATTCATCCTGAGGATGCAAGCAAAAGGCTATTTATGCTCAGATAATTTAATCAGCTGAATTATAAGCTGGTCGCCTTTGAAGATTATACAGATGTGCATACATATATAAGGAATGCATTGAATATATACACTTACGGATCCACCTTTGGCAAGCATTAAGGTATAATGTATAGTTCAGTATTTCTATACCTCCATACGGTGGAGAAGTCTGCGAAGCTTTTTCCCTTTAGCTATGTATATATACCGCGTGCTACCCCGGTTTTAAAAAAAGCAGTCCAGCAGTTTCACTTCAAATTGATCACCGACTGGTTTCGTTCGTAGCCGACATGAGTATTACTGTGTTCTGTAAATCCTTTTGTAAACGCTCGTGTCGAAATTGGTTAGTTTCCATTTTTTCTGATAATCTTAGACTGTGAAGTTAGCCGACAGCTGATAACAACATTGCCGTTTGCCCTTCCATGTTCGAGGTGGGCAGCGGCGATCTTACCTATTTTGTATTATTGTTTACCGTTTTCAGACACTTCATCACCACAGCGACGAGAACAAGGCACGGGTTTGCAATAATCTGGAGCCTATATGTCTACGGCATGTCGACAGTTTAAAGTAAATTGATAGTAACTATATGACAGCTATTGGTTGATCCAGGGGCGTATGTGGCCTTTTCGAACATTTCATATATACGCATGTAAATTCATTCTATGCCGCGCTCATTTCAAGTAATAGATTCATTGAATATTTAACTGAAACCGCCACAGCAAGAACGATCAAGATATTTACTTTTATGATAATTTATGTATTATATATATTATGACCGCAAATACCGGTTAGCCATACATAGGAGCGTATTCTTCAAAGCGTAGAATGTAGTCTGAGTTAAACTTGATGTGTTTTGTTTACATTTTTAGAACAAAAAGAGGATGGATATGATGTG